CAGGACAATCACATCTTTGTATGTGCCGTTGCTGTCATGTTTCCGTCTGCCCTATTTTCATACTAAGGATATTATGTATACAGATGATGGGAATTATTTATGAATACGTACGCAGTTCATCGATGAACAGTTCATTGCGTGATTGGAAGTTTATTTTGCGGGAAAAGTACATGTCAAACTTTGTAACAAAACACCGGGGCAAAACCACGCACGCAGAAAAAAAACACTAGAAATCCGAGCTTGGTGTGGATTACTGTTGACTGATCGACAAAAATAGACATGAAAGCCATGACGTAATGCATTATTTATGGTAAAGTGTAAGGAACATATGAAGTCCACGTGTACATGGTACACGACCATTGCACAGATCATGCATGATAAAATTATCTTAATACAGCGCGTCTAGAAAATTCTCTGTGACTCATAGTCAGGTGCGTGGGCTGGACTGCGCCCCTATAAAAGGCGCACGTCCAACGACATCTTCATACGCTCACTAAAAAACCCTCGAACATCACAGCACACTCGCGGAGCGGAATGTAATGACAAGGACGTTCCGTTTGTCCTGGTCGTCAAAGTGGTGACCCTTTGACGGCCGAAGAACACCCGTGCATAAAAATCACTGTGTCTGCAACATGAGCAAACACGTCGGCGTTTTCGTCACGCCGGTGCGTCCTCGCAAACCACGGTGTTTCCGTACCGGGTGCTCACCGCCAGCGGTTGGGCTTCATTATGGGAGCATTTCCCCGTGAAGTCTGACTAGATCAGGGCACTGGCAAATAGCTTCCGTCAACACAGTCGCGACCGTACGGCTGTTATGACAACCTACTACCAACCATGGAGGAACGAGTTCTTCTCCTATGCTTACAAACCAAATTTTTGAAACGGCCCCCGAGCGCTGAAGACCGACTGTCTTCAACAGAGAGGTCGGTTGGAATCTTCGAGGGCCCCCACTTGGACGGGGTTTGGAGGGAGGTCACTTTTTGAAAAACCTGCTCTCTTCGATTCCGTGTTTGTGGGGGCCACCATTCTGAACACCGGCGTGGATGATGGCTACTTCAGACAAGATTCACATATTCTGAAACGTAGATTAAGGAATGCTGAGTTTGTTGGTGGTTACAATGAATAACACTTAATGCAAGAATCCACAGGCAGCATTCCCACAATGCGTTACAGTACCCACACCTTAAAATCATATTCCACTCAACCCTGGAGCTGTAAACGGAAAGACAGTTTTTCACTGGTCATTAATTGACCAACAAATTTACAGTTCGTAAGTCTAGGCTAGAACAAACAAATTCGACCAACAGCTTATTTCACCGGAGAGGGCACTTAAAACGGACGATATAGATGGCATCACTCGCTACACATAAATGTGGATATTCGGACAACCGCCATTTTCCCCGGTGATATCGAAACCGAAGTTTAAATGTGACCCAATTTTGGATATGTAGATACTTTAAACTTTTCCCACTTATCCACGGACTCTTTACCCAGAAAAATATGGGACGGAGGGGTACCACCCTACAAGTCACGTCCAAACCCTGAAGACACTATAGACTATTGTTACCTTACACATCCCTCCTCGGTGTCTAAAACGAATTCCCAAAATTCTGGTAAAACAGTGACAATGACAGTGACTCTTGCTCCAAATGTCCTCTCCATGTGTGTGTTTATTTCTTTTGGGGGGTGAGGTCATCAGACATCAGCTGTTTAAACCATGGAGGAATAAAACATTCCTCAATCTTTAAACTAGCCCGATGTGGGGGGGGGGGTAACCCACACTAGAAACCCCCGCTTCTGCCGCCGGCGCCAGCGCGTGAATCCCTAGATCTTCGCTCCACGCCAACGTCACTGGAAATGTTAATATATGTTCGTGCTATAATAAAGACATACACCTATAGTCAGGCTCTTACATTAACAGGCCAATACCAAAATGTTTCCTTCCTCCATGGTTTATCTGATAATGTGATAATCGCCTGTCAGAGTCACTCTTATCCTATTTCATCCAGCAGAAGACGATTCTCCCGGAAAATTCTCGCGACCGATGAAAGCAGTGGGAATTGGTAAACTGTCTGAGGTGCTTCATTATGAATACGTACCGGTAATAATTATCCATGGAAAATTTAACATTTTGCACCAGCCTTCGTCAGCAAAACTAATTTTATATTTTTGGCAGGCAAGGTATAGTCCAAATTTTGTAAAATAAATCGTGCTCAATTAAGGCCGAGCGCCAAAAAGACAACACAAAAATCTATACAAAACTTGGCAACGAGATTACGTGTGATGACATAAGCCGACAGGGGCCCAGATATCCCTCTATGAAGCAATGCACTGACATGCAGAAAGTACATGTACACGTACATGTACATGTACATTGTGTACATTCACCGCGCAGCCTCGAGATGCACGCGTACAATGTGAAGTCCACGTGTACATGAGCCTTGCCAGCATACAGGCAAATAATGCCAAAACATCTGGAACCTTCTGTGTGATTTCTGGAGCAATTCACCCACAGTCTAGTCAGATGTGCGCTGGCGCATGCCGTATATAAAGGTGCACGTCCCACGTTATCATCAGTGGGTCGCTTCGAAGTCAACAGCACACCTTGTAACGCAGCGTTTGTCCTGGTCGTCAAAATTGTCATCATGACGGCCGAAAAGACACCCGTATAGAGTCCTAGCGTCCAGTGCGGCATGGCCGCTTCCACGCGGCCGTGCATCCAGACTCACCCCTTTTCCGTACCGGGTGTTCACCGCCAGGATGGTTGGACGACTTCTCGGGGGACCAATTTCCCCGTGAAGATCGGACTTCCGATAGGGCAATGGCGGACAGCTTCGGGGACTGCTTCTCCGATTCTGTCGACGCAGCGCGCTTCAACGTCGGTGATCTTTCCCAAACACCGACGGTGGGGCAACACGACTGTGACGACAATCTCAAATCCCTTCTCGTCTTTTTCTCCTCTTTCTATGGCCCCGAGAGCCGAAGACCGACTCTCTTCCACACCGCTGTCGCCCGTGCAAGGCGCAAAGTCTGAGGTTGGTTGGAAGCCTCTGGGGCCCCCACTTGGACGGGGTTTGGAGGGAGGTCAGTTTTGAAAAACCTGCTCTCTTCAATTCCGTGTTTGCGGGGGCCGCCATTTTGAACATCACTGGAGAAGATTCCGCACCTGCTGAGGATTCAAGTGATTAGGAAATGCTGAATTTGTCCCTTACAATCGAGAACATAAAATGAAGATTTTCAAGGTGGAATTCCTCGAATGGTTTCCATCAAGCAAGCTCTAAATTGCACCGAACAATCCCACGTAACACTACAGCTACCAACAGACGAACATTCCATTCTTCATGTATTTTGACTTCAATTATCTCCGCAAATTTCAAGGTTATAATAGTCTAGCTATTTTTAATTAAGGAAACAGAAAATTCAACCAGCTTTTATCTCCCAAAGGTGCAGGCTCTCGCTATCAATGGCTATGTAATGTATAATTCAGGGATCGCCATTTTCCCCTTAATATCGAAGTCGCGGGAAACTGCAACTCAATTAAATTTGGTTTTGCTGACCCTCAACCTTTCCGGCAATGCCACCCCAACATTGCCCATATGAGTACTTTTTTAGGAAACGCGTTCCGACGAGCAGAGCTGAACAATGCTTGCATACTAAACAGCGCCGGCGCGTGACTCACAATCAATCAGCACATATTTCCGCCGAGGCAGCACATGCATTTTGCTGAGTAGACACGTTAGATTAACATTTCGAAATCTCGTGAAAGTCTCGGAACAAAATTCTGCCCGCCAGGACAATAAATTTGGGAGGGGGGGGGTACCCAGGGTGCACACATTTTATCAAGGGGTCACCACAACAAAATAAGGGACATTATTCAAAGCTTTCAAAGCTAATGGGGGGGCACAGGCATCAACTAGGGGGCGTACCCGGTGTAGTTACGTCACTGCCCTGTCAATCATGTCTTAAAATATGAAGCTATTTGAATTACGTTTTGATCAATATAAAACTTCACTGAAGAAGTGCATTTTTGTGAAACCATATTCAGGATTGATCGATGTCACAAAATAAGAGCAAGAAGTGATTCAAGCTATAAATTAAATTTCTAGTGTTTTTTTTTACATGATGATAAAGGCCCTAACATCTCATTTGCGGCCCGGACGGTTTTGGATGGCCTCTATGTACAAAAGTGTGTATAGCCACAATGAAAACACTGTGACGACTGGAAAATATACTATCACATTGAATGACGTCACTCACTGTCCACAAGGCTATTACAAAAGCGTCCAAAAATAGACTGCTGACACCGCAGTTCGTAAACGTATTAAAGGCGATTCCATGGAGAGTTTTGTTTAGGTTTCTACAGTGACACTGGCAGCAGCGGACGAAGCCGAAAAGCCGGCCGACTTCTGAGTCGGTTTGGAGGCCGAATCTGTGGTGAAGCGGTGGATACCTCACCATCATGTCGTCTACTTCGCAACCACTTCTGAGAGCCGAGGACAAATGGAAATAATACTTCGCTTCCGGGGCTGCTTTTGAGTAGCCCCACAAGCTCCGCCAGCGCTCCTGGCGACCCCTTAGGGACAGACTCCGGCTTGGGGGGCCGACTATCGCCCGTAGACGGCCGCGCAGTCACCGCTTCGCACGGTGCTAGCGGTGGGAGGTGTCGGATCCCCAGGCCCCCACTTGTACAGTTTCTGGGGCGAGGAAAGGTGTGCATTCCTGGCCTAATTGCTGGGTATGACACATCCTTATTTGATAAAACTCGCACCGATTCTGTATTTGCGGGGGATATTTGTTGACAACTCGACCAGACTAGAAGCGACGTATACTGGTAATGCAACTAGCAACCATCCACAAACACGGTTGAACACTCTGCCGCAAGGCTGCTGTTACTCATGCGCAACGGAATGTGAAGCTCTTTCCCAGTCTTTCATTTTGAAGCCAGATGACCAATCATTTATTAATATAAATGCGTCAAAAGACAAAATATACAGTAGTTGTAATTTAACAAGGTTTGTCGTCAACAAACCGTGCATTTACTTGTTTATTTAAATCTTGTCCTAATCTACTCTCACTTTCTAAAGATGAAAAATCTCTTAACTTAAAAAAAATATCTGTTTGCTACAGAGAAACTTCACAGTTTCCAGTCTGAAAATTCGATGGCTGGGGCCATCAACTGTCTGAAGGTTGAATTTTCTTTATATCGATGATTTCCACTGCTTTTATGCAGGGCTGAGGGTGTGTGGGGTGTGTCTTAGTTTTAAAAAACACACGGGGGGAGGGCCTAACCCCACAAATCGACAGTCCAGGAATAACTGACAATGCTAGGTACTTTTGGGGAAATATCAGTCTCTCGGTTTCCCTTTGCTTCATGAAAAAGCTATTGCACACATTATCAAATACATGCACTGTAATGTCATCGCTTTGTACAAATTATGTTGGCCACGATGAGACATTCCTTGATGTTCTCAAGATCTTCTGTTTATATCGAACGATCATCTTTGCACAGATTTGTAAGTTACGGTTGTTTGTCTATGTACACTTATCTAACTAACTTAAATACTATTAAAAATGTGCATAATAACAAAAGACAAGATTGCTACTTATGCTACATGTGTAGATTTACAGAAAAATAAATTATGTGAGTGTATTTGGCATGGAGCTAAACCTTGTTTAGTAATGTTTCCATTGATAGGAATCCAAACAATAATGCTCAACAGAAAATACATTCAATTCAAAGGAAGAGATAATCATATGCCCCCTCCCCCCCAAAAAAATTGAAGAGCTAAATTGTGCTAACTTGAAGTGCTAAACTGTGTCCTGATCTCAAAACTGCCCTTTATATAAAATGCCCGTTTCAGAAGCCACTTGTAAAACCCCCCAAAAAACAAGGCAGTAAGAAACAGTTGTTTTCCAACAATAAAGAGTGTTTTGGGGTGGTCTTTCTAGTACATTTAGGTGCTTGGATCTAGGCAACAAGCGGCGGGAATCAGCACTCACTGGGGAAAGAATGGGTCCTGGACGCCGATTTCCTGCCAGGATAATTGTTCGGGATGTGACTAAGGGTATGTGTTTTGCGATGGTAGTTTCGGGGGAAAGCTGCAAGTGTTGTGACGCACGGACAAATGTGGGTGGGGACAAACTTTTAATCATCAGTTTGTCTGTGAAGCTTGGGACTTGGAGCAAGACTGGATGGCTTGTGGTGAACGTGACTACAGCATGGCTCCAACCGACACGTGGAAAAACGTGGCACCGCGTCTGGTCTGATGGTGCAGCAAAACTTGATGCCTGACATCACAGATAAGGGCGTGAAAGAGGCCTCAAAAAACACCTCCTCAGATTTCACTGTGTGCCCTCCTCGCACCATCCAACACGCCTACCTCAAAGGCACAGACGCAGCATGCCTCAACATTTATAAAAACTAAGGTCAATCAAAACGATGTTTCCCACAAACACTGACCTCAAAACATATTCATAGTGAATGCTGAATAAGATGGATTGGATGTACATGATCTCATTAATTGTGATTTTGGTACATTTTTTCAATTACTGCGGAATATAAAGTCAACAGAACTATCGCGAAATAACACATGAAGACTCTTGTAGAATGAAGCTCTAGGAATACTGGGGATTTTTTTTCAGGTTGAAAATATATTTCAACTATGTCAGTATTTATACACCAGTGTCTCCAAAACCTCAGAACGGGAACAATCCGTGACTGCAACCTGCCATGATTCATGAAAACACAGTTTTTTTAAAAGCTATAAATGGTATGACGTCTCCTCGTCCAGATTGGCTGTCGTGGTCTTCGCCTCGTGAATATCAATCATCTGTTTGGTCCACAATGCCGTCGGCCGTAGCACTGTCTGGTGCCCCGCTCTCATCAGTGAAGAGCTGCTTGAGGTTCTGCAGGGTGAGGGTGCCTGTCTCTCCCTCCATGCTGTCCAAGCTGTCGCTGCGGTTGGGAAAAAATGTGGCCGTGTCTGAATATTACCTCTCTGTGCACGGCTGGAAATCACATGTGCGCCTACGGATTCCGCAAGGCACAGGTGGCAACCGATAACAAAATCCAAAAGTTGGGGGGGGGGTTAAAGACAAACCTACCTGGTGTGGTTGGCCTGCAAGAAGGCGTGCAGTCTCTCTTCGATGGTGTCCCTGACCAGAAAGCGGTGAACAACCGTCGGCCTGTCGATGAAACAAGACCAGAAATTGCAAGTCAGCAACGAAGACACCCGACATCAATGCTCGTACTGGTCTGTGTTACGATGACGTGAACCAAAATTCTTTACCACAGACAAAAATCAATAAGGGTAGCACGACACGTCCAGGATGTGACGCGTCACTTCAGCAGTAGGACGTAACTGTGAAGAGTCCACAAAATTCTGGTACGGAGTCCCCTTATCTGTGATAAAGAATTCTGGTTCACACTGGAAGATAGTGTTTGTTACGGGTTGTACAACAGTGTTTATATATGCACATATAAAACTGCATTTAACACTGTTTCCATAATTCTGCTGAGAACTGTACAAGAGATTTACACTTCGGTATCAATTTCTTGCCTGCTTTCCATTTTCCTTTGTTACGTGTCTTTTTTTTCCCCACCAAAAATCTTGGGGAAAAATTATGGCCAATCCCCCCCCCCGGTGAGAAGTGGAAGAGGGATAGTTTGTTTTATGGCGATACGGAAACTTAAAAGGTCATGTCTGACAATGGATGACCTCAGTTCTGAACTTGAAAATCTCACTTTGTTTGGCCAATCCGGTGCACCCGGCCCACGGCCTGTAGCTCGCTGGCCGGGTTGAGTATGGGCTCCACCAGAAGCACGTGAGTAGCCTCGATGATGTTGAGTCCTTTGCTGCCGCTGTGAACGGGCAGCAGGAGGGCGGTGACTCCGTCTTCCTGCTTGAAGTCCATCAGGTTTTCCTGCAAGGGAGAGATGGGCGAATGCAACGGCAAATTAGTCTGAGCCCAGAAGTTTAGCTGGGAAGAATAATTAAGGAAAAGATATGAGAACACATATTTGCTGTGGAGAGAGCTCGTCTATCACTTCTGCAAGACCGCACATGGGTTTCAAAAGAGAGGTCTGGTATCTAATCTCATTTCCATGCATTCCCTCTCTTAGGTGCCACAAGACTACTGAATGGTCCATCTTTTCGAAAGCGGGACAAGTGTTAGTGTTTTCTGACAAGCCAGACTTTTGTACGCTGCCTCTAAACCTTACAATCTAAGCCTTACTTTAAACTGGCGTTCACCACGGGAACCGATGCTACGGAACTCCACATGATTGTCTTTCAGTGCCTTGGCGATGACCGTCAACACGTCCACCCACTGTACAGGACATATAAAAGGAGCAAATTATAAGTCAAAAATGTGGAGTATCTCGTAACGGGGGCCGGAAGTGTAAAACTCTTCAAGTTGTAATCCTGTAAACTTCGGAAGTAGTCTCGGCAAGGAAATTCACAGTAGCAAACCAAAGCTGGCAAAAATAAGGTTCTCACAGGTGGATGGTGGTGTCTTGGAGCAAATACTTTGTGACTTGATTTCACGAAGGCCAATCCGTTGCTACTCACCGTCGAGAATACGATGGCTTTCACGTTGGGGTCTTGCTCTTGGAGCTGAAGGAGGGTTCGAACCACCGCTTCTACTTTGGTTGAAAAGCCTCCCTAAAATTGTAGAAAAATTGCATTAAAAATTTAAATTAAAAAAAATCACTCCTACTCATTCTCGACATCATTTCTCTTGATTATCCAGCTGTATTCAGCTATACTCAGGGGCTGTAGCACTCAATCTCGCACTTATTTCTTCTGAGTTCCACTTTTGATATTGCATTCACGAAAACATATCCTGACAGCAACTCAGGCATCACAGGACCAAGGATTTAACAACTGCTTAAGAATGTTTCCATACAAGCAAACATTTCTTACCTACCCGTGGAACACTCAAAGCAAAAAAGGCCATCATTTTCTGTTGCAACTGACTCTTTGCGGAAGTTATTAAAACTCAGAAGGGCACGCCAGTAACATTTCCCCCCATACCTTCACAGGAATGGCGCAGTCCTCTGGCTGATCGGTCGGCTGCGTGCTGACATAGGAGATTTCCTGGAGGGAGGCCACTGCCCGACAAATTGCGCAGCGCAGGGTCTTGCGTTGCCCGCCGCGGTGGACCCGCATCATGTCCATACAGCTGTTGCAGAAGGAATGACCACAGGGCAGGACAGTCCACTGTGTGGGCGAGGATTGAAATTGTCAAAATACCGCAACGTCAGTAACCCACGCCGCAGAACGACCGGTCAATATTCTTTCTGTGATGATCTGTGGTTGAAAGGTCTGTATTAGGAATGACAGCGTCCTAGTTTCCCTTGATACTGCAACGGCTTTGCAGTAAAAATTCAAATTTTAAGATGTTTTTAAGGATTCTAATGATTATGGTGGTATCCGCCCTGGCCTGAAGTGCACCCCAATTGGCGAAAGAAAGACAGGTGGTTACAAGCGGTTTCTTGCACGCGCTCTGCGTGTACGCAAGACCATACATGCCGGAGTAAATTACTTACACGTACTCAGCGTGCTCCGCGTCAACGCGCATATATACTTGCACGCCTCATGGCGCACCTATGCGGTGAGTACCAAAAAAAACACCACGCCCTCTTTTGTTCCGCTCGGAGCGGATTAAACTGGGATGGGTAACTTTTGGTTGTGTGACTTCCACAAGAATTTTCCTAAAAGGTGTGCCTAAATTCCAGTGTCTCTTTCTGGGGTGTTTCTGCCTTTACAAGGCCTTCATATCCAGTTTATCTCTTCCTGCTTGTCAATAAACCCCGTCTAAGGTTTTTTTCACAACGATTTCCCTCACAGAAGCCACAAACATCACATTTCTAAACCAGCATTTCCTCCGCTTTTTCCACTAAGTTTTCAAATTTCCGTAATTCTGACAGCTTTGAATAGGATCTTCTGTGATCTCACCGGACAGCTTTAATGACTTCTTTGAAGTCTTCCACAGTTTCCAAGGTGATTTTTTTTCATCACATTGGTGCCTAGAGGAAGCCGTCATTGGTTCCTACCTGTTTTCCAAGCTCTCTCACACATATGGGACAAGGTTCCGGGTTGTTGCCCTCCGGCAGATCCGACTGAGCCTGAGCCAAGCTCTTCAGATAAACCAGCTGGCCCAACTTCTTCTTCAACTCAGACTGTGCCAGGGCCCGATCGCTGAGAAGTTTCAGTCTCTGCTGATCCAACTACATGAGAGTAACAAATTTAAACTTGATGATATTGTCTTTGTTTAAGCCGCGAGTAACACTCAAGATTTTGGCTGTGTCCAGGAGTCAGCTGCGGCTGATGGTGACACAGAAGCCTAGGGGAAGTGGCTTTGTCCGCTAGCCACTGGCGTCTATAGGTAGGTTTGTTATTGCTGCTTGCTGCCTTATGCCAAGTCACACTGATGTCCAAGAGAACACAAAGTAAGGCTACGGCTCAAGTGCCGCTTTCAATATTGAATCAACTGCAGTCTTCTCACCACCACTGCATCGACTAGGATATGGAGGCATTCTGGATGACTGAGAAGAGGTGCGATTGGGGGCAGGAAAAGAGAAATCAAAAAGACATCCAACAGAAGGGTTGTGACAATGAGAACATTAAAAATCTGTGGCTATTCAAGGTGTTCAGTAGAATAACAGACAAGTTGCTGTGGTTGCGTAAATCATGCACTTTTTTTGAATTTGCAAAACGGAAAAAAGAAGCCAAACTTGAAAGATTAAAGCCTTTGAATATCTGGAATCCTGGAACTCTAGAAAAATCTTGGGAAATTGCATCCCTGCATTACAAGGTGCGCCGTGCTCAGGCCAATAACAGGTCCAACACCTGTAAACTTTTACAGAGGCCAATTCAAGAATGCTCGGGACGGGCATGCAACTGTTGTACTGCTCCAGCGACATCTTCACTTCAGACTGTTTAGTTAGCTGGCATTGCGTACCTGTCCGGGTTCGATGACGTTGGCCTCGGCGGTGATTTCTTCCGGTTCGTGGGCCTCGCGGAGACGCAGACGCGTGGTAGCCATCTTCAGCTCGTCCCAGGCCGCCACGCGCTCACACAGCATTGTCCAGGTCGCCCGCAGGCTCTACAGAGAAAGGTCAACTCACTAAGTTCCTACTTGGTCGAGCCGACGAGTACAATGCTACTTGGTAAGGGCTGAGTAAACATTAGCCACTGGCTTAGACCTGGTCGGGAGCAGAATTTGGAGGTTTCTAACTCTCCACTTTGTCGCCAACTCTGCTTGAAGTTTGACCTCCCTACAATTTGGGAATTTCTTTTTTAGCCCAAGGTGAAGTCATGCTTTGGAAGAGGAACGCCAAATTACACCCAAAGAGGTGCACAGTTTCATTCAGCATGAATACCGAAGGCCTCCACGGCAGCAGCCACGTCAGACACCAAGCCTGAGAGATTGACAAAAACCATGCTTTGGACCCCTCCCCCATCTACGCACCACACTCTCAGCTGGTCTGCTGCTCTGGCCGAAAAGACTGTGAAGACCGAGAGAGGGGAAAGGGAGGGTCCGAAACAGTCCGTAACCCCCCCCCCCCCGGGTCAAAGAGTGGGAGGGTGCATATCGTTCCACTCCGCAGACCCGGGGATCCCGGTTAAAAGCTCCCGCTGTCCTCCGGCCTACCTTGAACTCTTTCTTCTGCACCTCCATCATCTCGATGTGCGCCCCGCCTTCCTCCAGGACCTCCCGGTCTCCCCCGTGTTGCCTCAGGGAAGCTAAGAGGGCTCTCAGGATCCTCTCCGTCTCGCTGGCCGCCCAGGACCCCTGGACTCGGGGTCCGGTTGCCTCCGATTCGTCCTCGTCTGCCTCGGAGAGGACCTCCCTGAGGAAAGATGAAAAGCCATCGAAAACTCGAAAGCATTTCTTTCTAAAAAGGAAAATAACAGTCATTGTACTTCTGAATGTCACATTTAGAAGATGTCGTTTACCTTTGTTTTATGGAGAACAAGCAAGTCTCGTATTCTACGAAAAAGTTATGAACCGTGCAGAAAGTACACCTACGGAAAGAAGATACAAAGATCTTATGATTGACATTACACCGAGAATTTTCTGGCTTCTGGTTTTCATACAGTAAGGCCTGTCCACATGACGCCATTATCTTCCAAACCTGACCTTTGACACCTCACTGTCACTGACCTCTTCCAAACAGCTATGCCAGACGGTGACTTAACGTTAGGATATACATGGCTTAAACACTCTTGGTATGGTTGCAGGTGCTCCCATATCAGCGTAGAACATGATTTCCTGGGCTACGTCAAGTTAAAACAATTCATCACAGACGTGAGCACTACAAAATTTACCTTTTCAATGTTTACTGTTTCTAACGTCCAACTTTGTTAACAACATTATTTAAGAATCAGCCTAATCACCAATGAGGGATTACCAGGAATCTATAAATTGTGAAGGTCTTTCTAATAGTTACTTTAAAAAAAAATCGATATTTTTTGTTTTCTTGAGCAAGATTTACCTGTTTTTAGGTTTCCCGCCAAAAGGTCGCAAGTGACAATCCGTCGCCTCGTCGACCAGCTCCTGGGTGACGTCCATGTTGAGTTGCTCCATGCCGGCCAGCACACGTTTGTAAGCGTTGTCCAGGTCGTCCAGCTTGTTGACCAGGACCATCTGTAAGCCGTGGATTGTTGAAAAACTGGACGAGGGCAAGGGGTCGATTTCGGATAACATAATGAGCCAGGTGTCAAAATATGTGAGTACGGGATTCCTTCCAGATTCTGAAAAGTACTGAATGCGCAAGATGTTCATTTACATGGGAATTTTTTCCCGAATCTGGCAGTACCCAACAAACTGTTTTCATCAATGCCCACATTCATGAACAAAATCAAGTCCAAAATTAAAATACAGAGGACTTTAAAAAGTTGCACAAACGACGTCTGACGTCTGCACAAGTAAGCAGGAAGCCATGGGCTCAAATCCAACTGGAAGCAAGTTTGGAATTTTTTTTCTGTTACCAAAGTTCAACGAAAAACAACAAGCGCACGATGTTGAACAAATTTAATGGCAAATATTGCGTATTTCGGATTTACATCTCCAAATTAAATTCAGTCGACAACTGCCAGGGACGACATCGAGGCTTCAAATCCATATTAAGCCTGCAAAATCCTTACTGATTGGCCACGCTCATGCTGTCCATGTGCGTAGTGGACATCAGCGTGTCCTTGACCTTGTCGACAAAGTCCTCTTCGACGCCCACGTAGCGCAACCACTGCAGGCCATCCAGCCACCATGGGGTACGGGGAGACAGCTGACACACATAAAAAAACAACACAATGTGAATAATAATGTATTCAAAGTTCACATGGACTGATCCGGTAAGCCCCGCCCACTGGGCACGTTCCACTCAGCCTCCAATGCCATACTACACGTTTCAGCCGTGAGCATCGCGCGCGCGGACGCATGCATGTCAGACTTTTGCGTACACCCTGCCGGACATAAATCATGGCTGTGATTGGTCAGAAAACAAGGGGGTGGGGCTTACTGGATCGGTCTATTTCACACAAATTGCATTCAAATGTATTACACAGTGAAGACGTGGAACTATGCTTGTTTCAGCCAAAAACAAACAGGGGTGCCTCGGGTAGTCATCACGTGACCCACGCATGCCCCCGGAGCACAGCCAGAGATTGTATCAAAGTGTGGATTTTTTTTGGGGGGGAGGGGGCAGAAAAACCAGAGAACCCGGAGAACACCCTCAGGGCACAGGAAGGAGCTAATGGACATCTTCTACTCACACGTGGCCTGTACCAGGAACTGAACCCAGGACCACAGTAGTGAGAGGCGGGTGCTTCATATGTTAGCCACGCGTGCCATCTCAAACAGAACAGAAGCTTGTAAATAATCAGAACAGCTCACTTTGAAAAGCTCTGCTATTTTGCTGAGTATTTTGCCAGGTAGCCGACACTCTCCACCTTGTCAGCGAAGACTTGGAGTGGAATAAGTTGGAAGGGTGTCCATTTGCTTATCAAAGATTTTCTTGCCATCCTTTCGACTTTCTTACTTGCTCTATACACCTGTGTCAATGCTCATGCAGCAAATTCAGCGGGCATTATTTAACCTTAACAGTCCCACATGCTACAAAGTACTACTTAGTAGNCTAAGAGGACATGACATTATTATTCTCTGAAGCCATAAAATACAATCGAGAAGACAATGTACCATACAGTGCTGTGGCACTATGAATGCATGGTTTCATTGTTCTCTGTACGAGTAACAATGGAAGTAACCTAGCCACAAGTAGTAATTTGTAGCGCTAGGTCCTTCAGGCTCAGAGTGTTACGTAGTATTTTGTAGTACTGAGTACTCTAAGCCAAACAATGCCAGGTACTATTAGGGTTAAAGCAAACTACAGAAATGACCTGGAGAGGGAAGTAGATCAAGATTCACGGGCGTCAGTTGTTTCATTGCCCTGCCTTGGGGAAGACTTTACTCGTTACCTTAGGTTTGAGCTCTGCAATCTTTCCTTGGAGTGGCCGCAGACTGACTATGCTGGACTGGAGAGCTGCCTCGGCCTTGGCGAGATAGGCATCTCTGATCTCCTGCACCTGTTGAAGCAGCAGTTCACTCATCCAGTTCAACTGACATGGAACTTCGTTACGTACAACCTACGTTGACTCCATGAGTGTTAAGACAAACCGATATTGTAACACGGAGAACATGTCGTTCTGCAGGCCGGAAAACGTTGGACCCATCTCTACAATTCAAGATCTTTCCAATCCATCTGTTGGACTCACAGACTGCCAATGGGAGTACAGCATTTGAACTTCATTCATTCGTAAGATGAAGGAGTTTGAATCCCAATACAGTTTAGGGTGAATATCTTTAGAACAATCTACCACGGGCATGGCTTGGTGCTTAATCAGGCAACTTAATAGGAGTATCATCAGTCTCAACAACTGACAAATAGATTTCCGTTTAAGTATTCATACCAGTCGGCTTTTCTATAATAAGGCCGGTTCACACTTTAGGTGAATGTAAAGTGAATTCCACTTTGCGGCAAAATTTTGCTCGAGTTGAAATGTGTCCAACTTTTACAAAATTGCAACGGAAATATTTGATCGGACGTCACAAAGTCGTGCTCGCTTTCGCTGACACGTACCCAAGGATTTGGGTACATATCAGTAACACATATAGCCCCGTGAGGTACCTGTTGTTCGAGGTCCCCGTCTCGAAGGGTTGGCACCAGACCGTCGGGCTTCAGCTGGATCAGCTGGTTCAGGTTGTGCGTGGCGTGCAAGCGCNACAATCGAGAAGACAATGTACCATACTGTGCTGTGGCACTATGAATGCACGGCTTCATTGTTCTCTGTACAAGTAACAATGGAAGTAACCTAGCCACAAGTAGTAATTTGTAGCGCTAGGTCCTTCAGGCTCAGAGTGTTACGTAGTATTTTGTAGTACTGAGTACTCTAAGCCAAACAATGCCAGGTACTATTAGGGTTAAAGCAAATTACAGAAATGACCTGGAGAGGGAAGTAGATCAAGATTCACGGGCGTCAGTTGTTTCATTGCCCTGCCTTGGGGAAGACTTTACTCGTTACCTTAGGTTTGAGCTCTGCAATCTTTTCTTGGAGTGGCCGCAGACTGACTATGCTGGACTGGAGAGCTGCCTCGGCCTTGGCGAGATAGGCATCTCTGATCTCCTGCACCTGTTGAAGCAGCAGTTCACTCATCCAGTTCAACTGACATGGAACTTTGTTAGGTACAACCTACGTTGACTCCATGAGTGTTAAGACAAACCGATATTGTAACACGGAGAACATGTCGTTCTGCAGGCCGGAAAATGTTGGACCCATCTCTACAATTCAAGATCTTTCCAATCCATCTGTTGGACTCACAGACTGCCAATGGGAGTACAGCATTTGAACTTCATTCATTCGTAAGATGAAGGAGTTTGAATCCTAATACAGTTTAGGGTGAATATCTTTAGAACAATCTACCACGGGCATGGCTTGGTGCTTAATCAGGCAACTTAATAGGAGTATCATCAGTCTCAACAACTGACAAATAGATTTCCGTTTAAGTATTCATACCAGTCGGCTTTTCTATAATTTGACATAAGGCTGGTTCACACTTTAGGTGAATGCAAAGCGAATTCCACTTAGCGGCAAAATTTTGCTCGAGATGAAATGTGTCCAACTTTTATAAAATTGCAATGGAAATATTTGATCGGACGTCACAAAGTCGTGCTTGCTTTCGCTGACACGTACCCAAGGATTTGGGTACATATCAGTAACACATATAGGTCCGTGAGGTACCTGTTGTTCGAGGTCCCCGTCTCGGAGGGTTGGCACCAGACCGTCTGGCTTCAGCTGGATCAGCTGGTTAAGGTTGTGCGTGGCGTGCAAGCGTTGTAGGGAGTCCGTCTTCAGCCGGTCCTTGTGCTCCTCCGCCGAGCGCAGAATCTCGCGGTAGTCCTGGATGGCATCTAGGATCTGGTGAAATAGGGTGAAAGTTGCTCATCTTCTTCTGACTGGTTTTGGTCTCTCTTCGCGCAGCCTTCTTCCCTTAACTTCAAGAAACCGTGAAGGAATTCTGTCCCTCTCTATCAATATCAACACAGGGATTTTGGTACGCCAACCTTAAACAGGAGGTGGGTCTTCTGAGCCAATGTGAAGCAAGAAGGTGTTGATATGTTACTGGCAAAGAATTTCTGGCAAACTCTTCCACACTTCATACTCTGGGAGAGAGGAGAGATCTGCGTCTCCCTCGAATGAGCGGGGGGGTGGTCTGATCGGGAACAACTCACCTCGCCCTTGATGATGCAGACTGCCGCCAGACCATTCAGGGCGCACACCAGCTGCCGGTGGGCCTCCTCCGACTCCAGCCTGGCCTTGAGGGTCAGGGAGGCCAGCAGCTCCGCCATGCTCAGGGTGGTGCGCTGCATGCTGATGAACTCGCCACGGACGGCCTGCGGGTGACAGCAGGCCTGCCGGAGCCTCAGTAAAGGGTTCATCAGCTGTGGCAAAGAAAGCAGGAAAACACTGTCGTGGTTAACGCGTCCTAAATGTCAATTTTGGCACAGGCTACTGTTTATTAGCCTCCAATCAGCGGCTGATTTATGTCAAACTGAGCCCAGTATTAGGGCCAAATACATCACAAGTACTTTTTCTTTATTGCTGGTGTTTTCACAAGCACTTACGTGACTAACAATGAGTGAACAAGGACAAAGGAAAGTCTCTGTTATAGTTGACAGCTAGCGGCTGAAATTCAGACTAGGGAACCAGTTAATATTTGTAAGGTATTCAAGTAAAACATTGGTCAAGTCTACAGACAAATCCATTGACCTTTCACTGGACACTCCCGATGGCCCCCTTAAATGGCGGAGAGCACTGTGTTGGGCTGTGTGTAGAGAACAGTGGCTCCATACAATAGTTATCACAAAGCTCCCTGCCATAGGTGGGGGCCACTGTGAATGACCAATGGCGGCATTACCACTTGCCACCGGATTCGTCTATGTTAGGCTATTACTCGGCATACCCGGTGGACCGTGTCGCGAGCCAGGGTGCTTAGGCGCGTCCGGATGTCCACTTTCATCCGGCCGGCCGCCTCCAGGAAGTCCTTGGAGCAGTCCTCCTGCTTGCGCTTGTAGAAGTGGGTCTCGATGGGCGAGAACTGGAGCCAGTGAGTCCGCTCTGTCTGAGCGGGGATGTTAATCTGGGGGATGCACATCAAATTGGTTTTGGTTAAGAGTCACAATCGCACAATTTGCATTCTTGACCAATCCAACAATGTGAGACGGAATCCAATAGCCTCTTTTTGAGTTGAAAAATTCCAACGAAATGTGCACAAGTAAATGCGACCCACTCTGTGAAAATGAGTCTTCAGTTGCCGGAGCCACTTTTTGAGTTTTCATTTGTATTGGAAAGAGCAAATTGAATTTTTTGTTTTGATGTATCACTCAGTTTGGCATCCTGATGAAAGTGGATACTCCATGGTGAAAAGTGCTGTGGGTTCCTGTTGATTTACAGTGTGCAAAATTATTCTAAAGGACTTTTGACTCCAAAGTAGCTCTGGTGACTTAAGACTCATTTTCACAGAGTGGGTCACAAATTCACAAATACCTCAGACAGTCTCCCCATTCAACAGCATGCAACTTGACCGTGTATTAACATTTAAAAATGCCCGATGAGATGAGATAATGCCTACTGGATAAAAATTGGTCTGGCATATGGACACGAGACAGTTTACTCCATCCCTATTGGTCAAGAGTCTGCTTGTGAGGCATTACATAGTACCCAGAACGCGCCACGTGGGCGCCAAGTCCATATATGGAGATTCTCAGCACAAGGAATATACCATACTATGGACAGGGGGTGTTTGGGAAAATGAAAGTAAAATTCTAGAACAAATTAATTGAAAAGCTATCACATATTGACTTCTTTGACTGAGTAAAAAAGGTATTTATGAATGGGAATAAATATGCACTTGGCCAGTCTTAAACTATCGTTTAAGACCAGCTTAGGAGAATGAACGCTGACAATGCCCAGCATTAGTCACATCCAGTCTCCTGAGCCAGTCTTAAACGCACGCTTAAGACCAGCCAAGCACGTAATTATTCCCTTATTAATAAGAGCCCTCAACATTTCTAACTGACATGATGCTATTTTCATCAGGACGGTGACCTGAAAGATACATCAAGACAAAGAGCTCAGTTTGAAATCTGCTGAAAACCAAAAGGCCTTAGGACACCATGCATGGGAGCTCATCGCATTTTGTCAATTTCTGCTGGTCTGATTCTGACATTCCATGCCAAGTAAGTGCATGAGTTTTGAGAGAATGAATGGCTTCTTCTTGGCAGTCAATTAACAAATGCATTACTTGAAATGTACCTGATGGATGACGTCTTTCTTAGCGCTGCGCCAAAGCACCTCCGCCAAGGCCTTCTCCATTGGCTCCTGGTTGCCATGGAGATAGGGATAGTACAGCATGTTGTCCCACCAGCTTCTCACCCAGTGAGGCTCCACGCCCAGAAAGAGGAACAAACCGTACAGATCTGGGGATTATCAAAAGACAAAATGGTTGTCCAGCTGACAACTTATTCAAGTTGCGTACGTGCTAGTTTTCACGAGCTAACCAACTTGGATGCTGTAGTTGAGTTCCTGACAAGTCCCTTCACAAGACAATTTACAATTAACAGCGTGAACAGTGACAAAGGAATGTTTCTGTCTCAGTTAACTTGAAAAGCTTGTGACGTGGATTCAGACTGGATGGCCCGTGATGGACTTGTGAAGGGCTTGCAGGGAAACGCGATGGACTTGGCTACAACGCTAATCACCTGTTTTCCCACCAAATATGGGATTGCATACTCACTGTCCAAGTCCTTCTGAATGGGGGTACCAGTGACGCACCACCGGTTCACAGCTGTCAGACGCAGGGCCATCTCAGCGACCTACGAGCAAAAGCAGAATCCTAAGTACGGGCACAATAAATCTGATTAACTTCCTACTTTTATTCTTGGTTCTGGCACCTTCAGGTATTTTTCCATTACGGTTTGTACTTAATAAATTGCTAGCCTGTCAGGAAACTTGTCCATACAGCCTTCTTCACTTCCCCTTTAAGTTGTCAACGTTACTTTGGTGACAATGAGTTGTAGCTCGTTACCTTAGCTGTTGGACACTCTACCATCTGGGCTTCGTCAAGACAGACCCTCCACCATTCCACAGCGGGTAAGGGGCTAGGGACGGCCATGTAACGCTTGGCATGCCGCAACCGTCTTCCAGTCTCACCTTATGAAAAAAAAAAAAAATAAAAATTGGATTTTGAAAATGTCAGAAGTTATAATGATCTGTGTTTGTAGACAGAAGTGGGTGCATGTCCCAGACATAAATTTATCTAATTACATTCAGTGTTGGACCTCACTGTCGTTGGACCTTACTGTTTGTGTGAGGCAGATCGACGTAGTTCAGTTCCGTCCGTAGTGTGTTGTAGGTCGTGATGACGATGTCATGCTTGGCTAGCATCCAAGGCTGGAAGAAGCCGTGCTTCTTTACGCCGTTATACACCTTCAGGACAAGTTTAAATGATAAACGGTAAAAAACCATGACTGATAACGCTGTGATGAATAAACGATTTACGGGTAACTTTCTGGAGAAAGTTGGTTAGCCGAGATAATGGACGGGCTCCTTACCAGTACGTTGAGGGTCTGGGACTGTATGTGTCTGTTGATCTCGTCGATCCACTGATGGCAGATGGTTGTAGGGGATACGATCAAAGTAGCTCCAGACGGCACTGCAGGCTACAGATGAAGAAATCCAATCAAATCAAGATTTGGACGGTATGAAATATACCACCAGATTCTATGGGCAAGGATTTCTAGAAGTTCCGCAAAAAAACTTGTTCAAGAAACAGTTCCATTCTGAACAAGAACTTGGTTAGTGTTGAAGATGACAACCTTTTCCCTGTGTTGGTCAACTCTAATTACAGCTTGCAGAAATAAGACATCTGCAAAGTTCTACCTTCTTGTACAACATTTAAATTTTATCACAAATTATAGTCACAAGTCTTTAAGGCGTGTTATCACAAGTCAATCACTAGTCATCCACAAGTCGACTGGTCTCTGAGCTCAAGTCAAGTCACTAGCTACTAGAAAGAACCATGACAAAGGTATCTGTTTCTGTCCTTCGTTACTGTTCATCTACTGTCATTGTGACCAAACCGTTGACATGACAGGTTGGCGGACTTGTCAGCGACTGGATTACAACTCTTGAAGACAAAATGCCCACCTGCTCCATGCAGCACATCGGACAGAGGTAGCCCTTGCTCCCCAAGAACTCCTTGCTGTAGTTCACGCATCGGCTGTGCTGCCAACCCCCGCACTGCCGGCACTGGATGCTGCGCTCTGGGTCCAGCTCTCCCTCCCGCACCCCGCAGATGCACTCGAAGCGGAACTTGGGCGGCTCTCGGCTCGCCGGCCTCAGGTAGGGGTTCGGGGGCGGTCTCCTGGGGGCTGCCTTCTTTTTGGGTTTCTTCGACGATTTGCTGGCGTCTCCTCCAACTTCTGCAGAGGTGGTTGCTGCTGTACTCTGCTGATCTGATGGAGGCGATGTCTCCGATGGCTGTCTTGGACTGGCACACTCATCCTCCGAAGCTGCATGTACGGACTGGTCTGTGCTCTTTGCCATCGGAGGTTCTACGTTCTCAGGTACACATGGGTTTCCATCTTCGCCTTTCACATGTATCTCTGCACTGTCCAGGTCCAGAGTGAGTTTTGTCTCTGCCGTTTCTAAAATTTTGGACACCAGTGCTCTCTGTTGGGACATCGGATGCTTGCTTCCTGAAGGCATGTCATCTAAAAGCACAGCTGAACTGACAGACCCTGGCTTGATAAAGTCCTCAGTCTGGAGATGTTTTGCTTGCACTGAGGTAGTTGATAACTGATCGGGACCACCTGTGTCCTCGGTCTTAGTTACAGATGCTGATATTTGTTCTTTTCTTCTGGGCTGAGCCTCGGGGTTAGCGATGCTTACCACAGACGAAGTTCTCTCTGCATGCATCCCTGAGCTGGAATCCACCGTTCTAAGGCTGCAAGTTTCCTGAGAATGCTGTGACATATCAGGCTGTGAAGCAATTACACCTGAGTCGGAAAACGCAGCCTTTCCTCCACCAGACGAATGAAGAGGACCTTCCAACTTAGTCTCTGCCTGCTGCAAGGTTCCTACTGTACTTTGATCCATTGGCCCTGGACCTGTACTGGTGCTTCCGGCTTTGGCTTTTACGGCGTTACCTTCTTGTGCAACCCTACCAACAACCTCCCGCATTTCCTCTCGAAGAGCTGCATTTGACAAACACTCGGTGTCCGATGTTCCTGCCTCGGATACGCATCGACTGGAGTTCGAAGGCTTGTCATCTACAACTGTGAGAGCACAGGTGGGATGTGGACCCCCCTCTTTGTCTACGCTTGCGTCGTTGGTCTCACTCGGGGTGGGTGCGGCCTGATACCTCGGGTGGGCGAGGATGCAAGCCAGAACCTCCACCGTCTTGCCCAAGCCCATCTCGTCGGCCAGGATGCCTCCTGGAAAGGGGGGCAGCTGGGTGAAGCGCTGCCTGGTGAATCTGACAGGGCATACAAAACAAGACAGTCAGGTACAGGGGTAATTGGGAGGAGCGGGTGACCGTAGCGGTTCTTTCCTCGCTTTGCACCAATGAGGCCCGGGTTTGAGGCCCGGCTTGGCCCAGGCTTTAAGTGCATTTGGTTTCCAGTCCATACTCGCTCTCGCAGGTTTTCTCCGGATACTCCGGTTTCCTCCTGCCTCTAAAACTGGACCTTCTTCCTAACTCCGTAATGTGATGTTGATTAATAAAGTGTATGAATAAACGTACAGATATTGTCGCAAATAGCCTGAGATGCTGAAAGCACCATTAAAACAAAACAACAACAACAACAGGGGTAATTCCAGAAATTAGGGGTCCATTTTATTCGTGTCCCTGTCACTTCTGACATATGATTTTGTAAGTTCAGAACACATTTTTTTATTCCAAGAGTGACAAATTAATGCAAATTGCCTGCAAACAAATAGTAATAATTTGAAATAAATTCTGGTGATATTTCCATGTCAGATAAAAAAGGTCAGATGTAACAGGGACACAAAAATGTCACACTTTTGGACCCCTAATTTCTGGAATTACCCACAGGGCAAATGTCTTGAGGCAAACATCTTCAAGTTCTGGATTTTCTTGAACAGGTGACCATCAGCAGGCAGGCAAAGCGAGACTGTTGGTAGAATTCATGGCAGGTTACTCCCTTATCAAACCCCCTGTACCCTCTGACAAAACAGCTCACAACTCTAACAGACCAGCACAAATTTTAGAGTAATGCATTGTTTGAGTGACATGGTTAATTGTAATAGAGAAGCTAAGTACACCTCGGCAAAAATGACATAAAATACAGGGTAGAAGTATCTTACAGTTTATCAGCCGCTTAGTCCCAACCCCCTAGGCTCCTGCACTAGAAAGCATACTGAACCTCACCAAATCTGACAGGTTCATGTACTTGTCTATGTACTTGTACATGCAGGTTACTGTACCAAACCTGATCAACTCCAACAGAATGAGCCCGTTGGAGTTTGAGTGATACGGTATGGATGGGTCTATGCAGTATAGGATGACTTGCACTGAACAGTACCAAACCTGACAAAATCAAGCATAGTCCAACAATTGGTACAGCAAGCCATGCACTACACACAATGACTCCTGTGTGTCCCAACTCACACAGAATCCAACACCATCTCCCTGGGCCTTTCATTCCAAGTTTCATCAGCAAGTTCATCATCATCAAGCTGCCAAAACCTCACCAAACCTGCTGTCGGAGTACGGCAGGTTTTGGGGCAGTTAGGGTATACTGACTAGCAACAAATGTCGGTATAAAAAATGAAAATCTGTCGATTCTTGTTCAAATTACAAAGGAGTAACAAGGTTTTGCAACTCACTGGCCGCTGTGGTAATTGTAAAACAGAGTCTGGTCAGCCAGCTGCAGCTCTGACCACATGCAGTGCAGCCTCCCACTCTCTCTGGTTCCAAGCTCCGCCCCCTCCTTCTCGTCCTTCCTCTCCCTGAACCCTTCCTTCTGCAGCATCCAGCTGACCGCCTGCCGCTGGTACTCCCGCAGCGTGGGCACCAGGCAGGGGTGCTGCAGCTGGATTGTCAGGGCAATGGCGTGGTTGCCGCTTTCCGCGTGGCGGCGGCGCACGGCGTCAAAGAGCTGGTTGAAGTCGTGCCGTTTGGAGGTCGGAACCTGGCGTGGAGCTGTGCGATTGTGTAGAACGGAGAATGACTCTCTTTGGCAAGTGTCGCAAAGAAGCTTGGGGCATTTTACGGGGTATCCCATCTCATCGAGCAAAACTCTTCACAGAAAAAAGTTCCAAGTTCTGTGGTTCTCTTGTACTTGAAAAACTGTGCATCTATTTTATTTCTGTAGTTTCCTTATTACATTTGCAACTACTCAAAGTTTCAAAACCCTTCAAAGTCTATCAAAACCTTGGCTTGGATTTTGAAAGATCAGGGAAGGAAAGCTGCAATGTGCCGTTGAATGTACATGTATAACGCAGAGTGGAGGATTTTGGAGTTTTCGGGAAGTATTCTAGCAAACTTGCCCAGGGAGGAAGACACATACATTTACATGGGAAGAAGCTACAGCCAGTCACAGCTGCAGCCACTAGCCAGTGGCTACCAAAGGCCCATGTGCTATCTCCAGCTGTAGCCATAACTTTCGAATGTAGCCACTGACAAGTAATGGCCTTTGCACATACCTGGTGCCTGGAACCCGTGCAGCCAGTGCATCAGGTTCTGCATGTGATACGCGAAGTCCAGCCGTCTGACCGGCTCTGAGGCAAACTTGGGTACGGCTAACGCCGGCCGCAAGAGGCAGATGGACAGAGACAGCCGACCAGTCTTTGAATCGTAGCCGTGACGGATTAGTTTCACCTGCAACATGAGACAAAAAGGAGTTTTTGTGGCTGTTTTCAACAAACTACGGAGCCGTGATCTGTCTGTGTTTATTGTTTGTTATTTGTTGAGTAGGGCCGAGTCTGCTTGAACAATTCGCTGTTCGAATATTTGACCTTCAATTCATTTGAATATCCGAATATTCAGTCTTACCAACTGGCAGATTGACAGACCATTTACAAAATTGGTTGCAATAATGCACGCAGTTGTACTTTACAATCAGTATAATAGCTTCTCACATCTAGGAGTATCTCCAGCCACGATTTAGCAAGATTTAAGAGATGAACAGTACTTCTTGCCCTGTTGAAAATTTCTATTCCTTTTAAATTGTTTAATGAATAATTTACTTGTTGAGGTGTTGTATGATTTCTGTTGCTTTCATTTGAATCTGCTTGAAACAAGCCTCCATAGTGCAATTTTTCTCATTTAAAACAAAAGAAAATTCTCCCTTCCTTTTTATGAATCTTGCATTCAAATAGTCAAATTTGGAAAACAATATTCGAATATTCGGCACAGCCCTATTGTTAAGTAAATTAGTGTAGACACATAGCTCGGTAAGTGTCAAGAAATACAAGGAATATTGGAACCTTGGGGCCTTGGTATATTTTCTCCATTTCTGTACGCCAAATTTATAAACGTACTGAGTTTAACAACATCCGGTCTGAGAACTGCTACCTGCAATTTAGGAGAATAATCTTTGAAAGTCTCGGTCTTACACCAAGTATTGTTTGCAGCAATAACTGAGAATAGTTAATACACTTCCACTTGTACACATATCAAAAATGATAATTCGAGATTTCTTATGTACCGTAGCTGTGTCAGTCATCTGTTGGCCTTTTGTTTGATGCCTCGGGAACTCACCTTTGACTTATGATGGTGGCAGACGTGTTCTACACTGTCCAAACATGAGACGGGCGGTTCGTTCAGCACAGCTGCCTTGAGACAGAAGTACACCCTTGACGATAAACCGTTCGGCGCATTCTCCACGTTATCTGGCGCGTAGTCGAACACCAGATAATGCGGCCCGACGGAGCTGATAAACAGCGAACAGCGCCCTCTGGGGATCTGCTTGGGGAGAGCATCAGGCACTAGGTCATCGCATCCCTCACCTTCAGAATTAACGGCAGATATTTCAAGGCTCGTCGTCGGCTCCGATTGCTTGGACAGACGGTGGGGAGCTAGACCGAGCGCGATCTGGCCCAAGCGGCAGGCCAGGTCCCCCTGGGGGCAGTGTTCGTGAATGGTGATACTGTAGTCAGCCCTCTCCCACAGGGTCTGGTACTCTGACGGCGTGATGTGGTGGGGCGGAGCCTGTATCTATAGATGTAAACAAAGCCACTTTTAAATTGAAAAACTGTTTCCCGATTCAGAACACAGATTGCATAGACATCGTTCAGTATTGAACATGCAGTTTGCATGTAAACTGCGAATACCGGCATTGTGATTAAATGGCTTGTCAAATAGCATTTATCATTTCTTACCTCCAGGGGATATCTTTAACTGGTCATGACAGAACTCAGATTTCTTACAAATCCTTTATCCTTTGATGTGACTCATGAAATGCTGTTTAACGTAGCTCAAATGGCCCGATATAACAGAAATGAAACGTGGAAAGTTTGAAAGCACACCTTGGATTTGGCACTGACTGGGTCTCCAATGCTCTCTGAGCTTCTCGGTCCACAAGCAACATCCAAGACTGTCTCTGGGGCATCTGATGGCATTGTGACAGTGCCGCCGTGGCTGGTGGATGCTCCCGGCTGCTTGCCATCGTTCATGTCCCATGACAGCAGCCAACGTTTGGACGGGTTCAACTGGACTGGGGCTTTGCCCTTTCTCTTCGACATTGTGATCTCAAGGCGGGAGGGGGGGTGGGATCAGTCTCTGGGATGAGAATTGCCAGTCTGACGAATGACAAATCTGCAGAGGATGTAGGGATGTCAACAAGAAACCTTGAGGAAATGAAACTTTTTCCCCTTTTTAGACACAAAATGTCTGACTTTTGAGGAAACCAGGCAGAGGAGAAACGGGCAGAAGACGATTCTTCAACAAACGACGTCACCGACTATCACAATGTAGTCACTTTCATTGATGCTGCCCTGCTATAAACCAATACCTACAAGAGTCCAATTTAAGACCAAATGTTCTTATAAGCATGGACACGATGGAGATCCAACTTACCATGCAAGAGAGTACCCTAAAACTACAAGGCTCACAGTTCTGCAATGCGCCCAAGAATGTTCATACACTGTTGGAGCATATGCAACAACAAACCACTAGTTCTATAAAATTCTAGGGGGTAACACAAGAGACGCTTTCTTTCAGTCCCTTTCACAAAAAGAAACTGGACTCAGTGTCTGCACTATTGCTTCAGACAGAGTTCCTGGCTGGACATAAACTAAGTTTCCCCCTACAGTGGTCAATCAGCCGTGTCATACCATGACCTACAAAGTTAAGGAATAGCGTTTCGTACTTGGACTTCACTGGATATATATCCTTTACATGACTCTTTTGCGACTGTTCTGAAAAACCTCTCAGTAGTTTCTAAGTAAATGCTTTGATATTTTCCCTGCTAAATCTGGCCTTATGAAAGTTGAGGGCACGTCATTGCTTACTGATGGCTGACATACATGTACACGATGTACCACTCGGCGCTGTTGGCATGCCAGTGGGGAAAAATGAGTGATGTCTGAATAAAACAACTCTTCCAAAAGTCAAAGCAGGGTAAATGCTCAAGCATTTACTTTAGGCTAGATTACTTAGAATTTTTCACTTAAGGTTTGTGCACGCATAGGCATGACAGGCTGAGTGACATGGGACAGGCATGTTGATGTACGTACAGGCATGACAGGTGTCACACAACATTTCAAGGCATGTCCATCATATCAGTGTATGGAACTCTTTCTATTTTTATAGAAAGGCTACGAGGTATTCTGACTATTAAGCATTTTCTGCACAATTTTATCGGTTTCTAGTTCTACAGACCTACCTAACTTAGATTATAAGTTAGTGTTTAGCCATGCCTAGCACTGTCATGCCATGGTCATGCTCACCTGAATGATGCGCGCACACAAATGCCAATTCTACGCAGCTCGTCAACCACCGAACGAACAACAACAGAAAAAAATATACTAACGTCAACTACCGGTAGCAAGAGACAAAGGAAGACATTTCACGCATTATATGAAGGTTTTTTTTTCGAGGCGAACTCGCGATTCGCCTCCATCTCCAAGCACAAGAGGCTCGATGCATGCGCGACACAAACGGCGAACTAGCAAGTGAATTTAACGAACGGTACCTGATCCCACTAAGTAAGTAGACATAACAGAACTTGAGTGGATGGGCACCAGCCTGAAGTAGTTGAAGGTGTCAACGGCTGTTTCATGTAATACCACGAGGTATCCGACTTTCAATTTCCTCCCCCGGTCAAAGAACCGTAACTACCTATTACAGCCAAAATGTGGACCAAGAAATCCTCCAGATCTGAACAAAGTTATAGCATTGAGACAATTCCCAACCATATTTTAATCCACCACTGGAAATTATGGATGAATTCATGAGTTACATACAACACAAAACTAGGCTTGTCTGAAAAATTGAAGGTTTGGTTTGGCACAAAGGCCCTTCTTGGGGTCAGTGATTAAATAGATGAAAAAAAGGTAGTTTTGGGCACAGGGATTCCAATTTTACCATTGGAAACCACATCCCAGAACAGTCCTGCAATGCAGCAGGGGCTGGTTACCAAATCATTAGACAAGGAAAGGGTCACTGAACACAGTTCATATATATCTTGAAATGTGACGTCCATCACATCTTTTTATTTCTATAACCATCAAAATCATTTTTATGTTATCAAACAGTTGTGAGGCACATTAAAAAACATGCATTTTATCTTTCTAACTGAAAAAAATTATCTTATAAAACTGTGTGTTTTTCCGCTCCAGTTACAGGAATATGTTTTTAACAAGACTTGATATTTGGTGTTTATTTCACAGAATGTTGTCTTCCAGATGTATAAATTAGAATCCGAAAGGTGGACTTGCAAAAAAAAGTGTTAAAGTAACCCTGCGTTCCATAGAAAACAGAACACACTAACTGTATCCTTTTTGAAGTCTCTTGGCCTGACCGGTTTGACATTTGAACTTTCCACAGGTTGTTGAAATAAATTGGAGCCTGAAAACCCAGCTTTTGATCGCCAGGTGTCGGTGGCACTGTGGTCATCTCAGTTCTGGTCATTTTGGTCACTGAAGGGTTTCATGAAGACATGTAGTCTGTCCTTGATGATGTCCAACTGGCTCTTTGTCCAGAGATGTCTGTCCATTTGAGCCTCGGCTGTTTTCAGAAAGCTTGTCGATGTGGCCGCTGCTGACGATGGCTCTTCCTGTAAAGATGTTGGTAAACTCCACAACCTGGGCAAAGTAACAAAAAATGACAAAGTACTGGACTTTTGTCTTCTGTGGCTTCAACACTGAGTACAGAATGTAAGCAATTACCTGATAATGATATAAATATGTGACTAGTTTGTGTGAGTTCTGGGCGGATAGAACCGGTTGAGGCCAGTTCTTTGGTTCTGGCTCACAGGCAATCAATACTAGTACAGAAAAGCAGATAGTTACTTGGAGTTGCCTCTTGTGCTGCTGCATTGTGGGAAGTTGAGCACCAGGGAGTTGGGGTCATCCGGTTGCCCCGGTAACGACCCTATGGGAAACTTGGACCAATCGACCTGAGCTGTGGAATTTTGAAAAGAGAAAAAAGTATGCGACAGGCTGTGAGCAAAGCTTGCTTCGTCCACATCAGTAGTGTATGTGATTTGCGAGGTTTTCTTTGGGTTGGAAATGTGGATGCTAATGTGTGAAGTCATACCTGTGCTTGTGGACCAGGGCTGAAAATTATCCCTTTCCTTAAGGATTGGGACTGAAGTACTACCGCTCTCTGAAACTTCCATCTTGTCCCCGAAGCTCAACTGCTCATTGCTCAATTGGCTCTTGCAAGGAAAATGTCCCCCCTCTGATCTGGGAATGTCCTCTGCAGTGTAAACCCCCTTGACTTCATCAATGCCACCATTGGATGTTAGTGACACAGGCTCTTGAGATTCCAGGGCTTTGCAGTAGGTGGATGCCAGGTGCCTCACGTTGGCCTGGGCTTGCTTGGACATTACGGAGTTCATGTTTGGCAAGATGCTGACAAAAACAAAAGAAAAAAAAGAAACAAGAACAAAATAGATGAAAGAATGTATTTCAGACCATTTAATAAAAAATGTTTTTCATAAAAATGGTCTAAGCACACTCCAAGTACATTCTAGATAGAATAAGTGAAAACAGATGCGCTGTGTGAAAATCCACTGCAGCCTTTGGAAAAAAGGCAAAGAAAGGTTAGCGGTTGTTTCATATTCATAAATTTTGTCCAAAATCTGAAAACTTCAAACCCTTGTATTAAGGAAATCGAGGGAACACCATCTCAATAATTTTGCCATTTTCAAATTGCGGAAATGTACAGATTCGAGCCTGAAGACTTACTATCGCAGCAGTTCCAGGGTGAATGTGTTGGGTTGATGGAAGCACTCGTCCAAGAGATCGCTCCACGGGAGTTCAAGGCTGTCCTTGAAGAGCCCCACATATGCCCTGTACGATTTCTTATCGATGGCTGCGGGGAAAAAATTATTGAGAAGAGAGGTGTGTTCAAAAAAAGTGCAACTCAACCTGAGAAAATGAGTTGCAAGTCGCCAGGGGCATGTTTGAGTAAAAAGGTCTTTGGATAAAAAACTTGCACAAAGTAAACCAATTGATGGGTTTCACATTAGCGCCGTCTGCGCATATCCGCATCGAAACCGAGGCTCTCTGTGTAGAACTTGGTCGCGCGCGCCTGCGGAGTCGACACAGTACATGCAGTATCTGGTTCGTAAGTGTGACACCACTTCAGTTTAAATCACGCCCACTGCACAGATACACGGCCATCGCAGGTACGTTAGTTCGCGGTCAATTGTCATTGTTTTTTCTTTTGATTTTACGTGTCGAGTCATTTTGAAAGACTCTTTAACAAAAAATTGTGGCCTTAAAAGTCTGAATTTAACATACCTTTATGTATTTTGTGTCTTGACTCCTTACTTTCAATCGTCTGATCGTATTAAGAATTGAAGCTGACACATACAGCCTCGTTTCCAAACGTGGAAGTGCGCAGATCGATGCTAAAAAAGTCGTATTGGGATCCCTCTATAGGAACTCTCAACAGTTTTCACCCAAAGTGATGTCATCATTTGTTCATTCTGTTACTAGTGACTGGGCATGTGAGAGACCTGAAAACAGCACAGCAAAGTAAAGCGTCTAACACACACGGAAATCTTACTGCATGCCATTATGATCTGCATGGCCCATCCCACCAGATAGGTCGCCTCTTGACTCTCGGTGGTCCTGAATTTACCCAGCTCCCTGATGATGGACTGCAGCAGCAGGGGGGTGAGCTCCAGTGAGTGTAAGAGCATCAGCAGGGGCCTCCAGAACTGGCAGACCGTGCGGTGGATGCAAATGATGCCCCTGGTGATTGCAAAGCCTACAAAACAAAAGCAACCGCCAAAAGTCAGAGGAACATTTCAAGTTTTCAGGAGGTACTGTCAGAAAGACTTATGTCTTTGTCCTTGCGGACAAACTTGTGGACATGTTGCAAATCCCTGGAAATAAAAACTGCCAGAGAGTATGGGGTGACCTTCTCTGGGGGGGGGGAACAAAATCCTCCAGCTCACCTTCTCTTAAGTTCAGGGCTTGAAGCTGCTCTGAGGTGGGTACCAGGTAGCCATCTTGCAAGAGAAGTGAAATTAAGAGGTACCTAAAAGGAAAAGCAGTCAAAGAAATCTTGATAAACACTGAGCCAAAGATTGTTTTCTAAATTTCCATTATTCGTGAAAGACTTACACAGCAAGAGCAGATAATACCAGAATAGATGTTAGAGGAGAAGAGATACAGGAAGGTTTCAGGGTATTTTTGGAAAGTTGGATGGAAGCTACAATGGCCATACCTTGCTTCTGGGTCTGCAAAGCATTGCTCCAAATTGCACAAGATTTCTCGGACGTCATCACTTTCACCAAGGCAACCACTCTGCACATTCTGCCAAGGAGACATTGTAATTTTTCCCTTCATGTTTTTTAAAATTCATAAGATGACCGCTGCATAAAATGCCACGATGTATTGGAATACTGGAAGTATTTAAAGTTCAACTGCTTGTATTCTTTAAAGGGCATGGTTTAAGGTTTAGGTGCTTGAGTGAGCAAATCTAGCATTTCTTTGAGAATTTGTAAAAAACCAAGAAACCAATCTTTGGCATGATTACCTGGAACTGTGCTTGTTGGTAAGCAATGATTAGTTTCTTGATATCATCTGAAAGCAGGAAAATTTGAAAGATGCTTAGTGTGATGAGCACATGATCTTTCACATTATAGATTTACTAAAAAAGTGACACAAAATTAATAATGCAATTGTGAGAAAAAAGGAATTCCAAAGTTACAGCCACACCAGATTAGCCGACAATGCAATTATATCCTTCTCAAAAGAAGAATCAAAGTTAATTTACATTTCTCTGTATTAATTCCAAGGCCGATTGTCGGTCATTAGCTTACCTATTTACATTAAGCATGTCACAATTTCTTTTCTTCCTAATGTGTTTAATGCGCAAAACAGCATCCAGTCCATACCTTCAACGCCGTTAATGTTTGGAGGATACACAATATCCTTCTCCTCAATTGGAGAGTCTTGTGCTTCACTCCTGCACTGCTTCTCCCAGAAATTCTCCCTGAGCCAGGCCAGGCCGGTCCGGGCGGCACGTCGGAGGGTGGCCAGCGGGGGCAGGTGCTTGTGGGTCGCATCGTGACGTAGCTCCACCAACCACTCTGGAAGCCCTATCTAAAAAACAAGACTTCGTGTTTGTGGTCGGTTCCCAATTTTACGGAAACACTTTAGTAAAATGTAATACTTAGGAAGAAAAAAAAGGAAAAATTGTGGTGCTATCTGTTCCCCAAACTACCCAATTTTTGATAACATGACTTTAATTTCTTTTGGGGGAGGGAGGGAATTTTGGAAATTCTGTTTTATTTTGAATGTGGCGCAAACAGGTTGAACAGACTTCTTTATGCATGCAATAAGTACCCTTTAAAGTGTTGTTCATTTTATGGAAACCAATGCCAGACAACCTCCCTTGCTGTTGATATTCTGAACAAGCTAGTTCACTGAATCTGTATACAAAAGTGCAAAATAATTGTTTCCCTAGTTATGCCTTCCAGGCTGACAAAATTTCTGTGCTTGGCACAAAAAAAACACCTTGACTGCAGAATTTTACAGGAAAAGCCTGCCAATCTCTCCTTCTTAAAAAGAACTAAAATTATTCATTTCTTCACTGTAAGTTGAAGCTTGTATCAACTCACAGTATTTTTGTTTCATAACAGTGGTTGAATCTGAGTAATTTAACCAAGGTTCTTTGCGACGATGCCTGAAGAAGTTATAATTTATTTAACTGAACTCTTACCTCTTTTGCAAGTGAAACTACAGGCTGTGACTGTGCTTTAGTTTGTAGGAATCCTGTTATTAAGTTAACAAATCTGCAAAAGAATGAAATTCACTGAGCTAAAACCATTTTTTTTCACAGAAGGTTGTCATTGTAACTGGTAAAGAATTACTGAACATCTTCAAAAAAATGAGCCAATGTGTATCACGTCTTTCTGTGACCAGTAAGTTATAAGATCAGTTTGAACTTTTTTGCAATCGAGCCTCGTCAAACTCTTACCGGATGACAGCCATGCAGTAGATAAGCTGTAAGCGACTTGGCTCTGTCTCATTCTCGTCCATTAACGTTGCTTCTACAAGGGTGGCTGTACATTCAATAGCAACCGACATCTTGTCAGCTAATCTGCGAGTCATGGAAGTGGAACAAACTCAAAAGATGTGAAAATCTGTTAACTTTACAAAAGTTCAAAACCCTATTAGAATTAGAAGCAGAAAGTCGGTGTACAAGTGAAACAGTTTGGAAACGGGAACTGCGTACTGAATCTCAGAGCCAGGGTATATGACAATTCAAGCATGTCAATACACGTGATGTAAGCATGCCACTTGATGTGACAACTACACAGGCCTAAAACCTGAACACACGTGGAACTCTGTGCTGAAAATGTCGGGTGCAATCAGTTGATTTGCATGATTGCTCCATTTTTGCGCAATCTGTCAATCAAATTTTTTGTCAGTCTGGTTGTCCAATTTGGAGGGATTGTATATTTCAAGGGCCTTCACCACCAGGAAGCAAAAACATGCCCAGAGAATAAGTTCACTTTAGAAGGGAAAATACCTGGTCGTTTACCAAGAAAACACCTTTTCCAATTCAAAATGCCTGAGTTGGGTAATAACCAGATGAGAAACAAACATAACAAAATGGCGTAATTCGACTGTGCGGTTGCAGCGAACTTGGTTTGGAAAATTGTGGTTTTCTTGCATAAGCCCATCACTCATTGAGTCATGGTTCCTTAAGCCTTCAAACAGTTTGAGAAAGTTGAGTTTGTTGCCAGGCTATAGTATAGAACAGTGCGCTAACTTACTGGAACAAAGATAATGAACACTGGTTGTGTTGTGCATCCAGCACTGACCAGCCGATCACGCTTTGCAATAGCAATGCTTGGGCCTATCAATTAAATTTTTCCAACATCATGAACATGCCCAATAATTTTCATGCATGACGTGATATCGACATGTCATCTGGCCTGGCCCTAGGCTTTGTTTGAGGCTATTCATTGGCCACGTGCTGAAGTCAGGAATTTGTTTCAACCGATCGCGCATTCCTCCGTAACCACGGCACAACCAATACCAGGTAAATTCATACCGGCATTTCCATGCATTTATTTTCCCCAGACCATCATGCTTCCTTTCAGCACTGACATCGTACAGGCACTCATAAACGTCCTCAAATTCCCGTTTATTTTTCCAGCCAACCACTCGTGTTTGGTACTTCATGGGCGCCGCCATATTTATTAATCATCAAAGGCACTATTAGACTCTTACCAAATTAGAAGTTTGCTGCATGCCAAGAATTTGTTAATAAATAAATGTAAAGAGACATTTATTACATTTTAAATGAAAAAACAGGTATAAATGTTTTATTATGTGTTTTAGTGATGTAAATGGTAATAAATGAATGTGAAAAATTTAAATGATAAGTTTTGCGTGACTCCAAACCGGAATTCCACCTAGGCCAAAACAAAAACCACAGCTGATCACTTTGCGGGAGCATATCACAAATGTCACAAGAGCTTGCCGTCTCGCGTTTCACGTGCTCAAAGGTGAATGGTTTAAAGTCAAGCCGAGGCCTATCGTCATTCTCACAGTTTAATCATTGCGATCCGCTTTTGGATATCAATCGAACTTTTTTTGCTGATAGGATAGAATCCTGGAGGTAATGAAATAGACATAAATGGTGAATTCAGTCCTGGTGAGTACTCCTACTACTAACTTTGAGCATGGAGGAAGGCTTGTGTCCTTCCTTCGTGCATTGACAAATAGAAATATTTCTCCATGGTCCTAGGCATATAAATTGTTTCGAAAATAAACAAAAAATTGGTAACCAGGGTCACCTTTTAAAAAAGTAGGTATCTTGCTACAAGAAACTGCTATTACTATACAGTTTGAAATATGAAGTCAGGAAGGTTTTTTTTCTATGTGGAAGTACAAACAATAGTTTGCCCACACCCAACATTGGGCATGTTGGGTGTGGGCCTCACTCGTCACGCCTCACTGGCCTTTATTGAGGCGAACAATACAACTTATGTGGGTTTGTTTTCATCCAACCGGTGTGTACTTGGACCCAGGAATGTAATATTTATGCTGTTCTGATTTCCTTCTAAACTTGTTTTCTGTCAACTTAATGTACATTTTTGCGTTGACTCTAGTCATTTCAAGTGATCAGTTTGCAGTGTAATTATTTGTGTCTAGAGGTCTAGTATTTACGTGCACACTACATATCTGTGTTGGTTTCCAGAAGAGGTCTTCTTGGTTGTAAGTCATTCATTTCCTGCTTTCAAATGGCAGTTCTGTGTCAGCACAGGTTGGTCTGCACTCATTTCCTCCTTTCCGGGAGTGTGGTTGGTTTCAGTTTGGAGCAAAGTTTTCTTCTCTTTTTTCAGTGTCAACATTGTGGTGAGCGGCACATCGCGCTGGCGTGATGGGGGCTGTGCTTGGGAAGAGGAAAAGGAAGAAGGAAGCGGACAGAACACGTTCATTGCAGACTTCCGTGAAGCCGTTGGAGAAGGTAGGACGAGCACGGAAATGTGGAAAACATTGGGTACTGTATTTTGACTTCTGTAATAATTGATCTCTGGAAAAAAATAGTGTAGGAAAGAGTTCCATTTATATACGTCACTTATTTTGGCCCTGTGGTGAACTGCCATCATATGTGGTGATACCATGTCCACAAAAGGTCAAATTTAGAAGGGAAATATTGAAATATTTTCTCAAAAACGCTTGGATTTTTTTCAGACCAGGCACATAAGGTTTGTGCACAGGATATCAAGTGATGCCCATGCATGCAACTCTTACTGTAGTGTTTGTTATACGTATTCTGCTAATCTACTTTCGTGATCCGCTGATGAAACATTAGTTAACTCAGAGAGTTTGAATTCTTGTCGTTATTGTCCCGATGCTTGGTCATGAAATTTAACTGCAGCACTGTGAAGATGTCGGAGTGATTTGCAGTTTACCGTTGAAGGAGCCGGAAACCCCTGAACAGGCAGTGATGGACCAGTGCTGGAAAGAGATAGAAGCGCAGTGCGAGGACCACGTCAGCATAATCTACCCAACCAGCGGTCTGAATTCCTCGGGCTGGAGAGCCGTGCGCCTCTTCGTCTCGTCAACATTCCAGGACTTCTACAACGAACGAGAGGTCCTCGTGAAGAAAGTAAGAAGAGAAGAAAGGTCTGAGTCTCTCAGGGTCCTTCGGTATTAGCAATCCCAGAAAATAAGAACTACATTCTTATTTTTATTCTAATTGTACTATTCAGCATTGGCGCTTTCAAAATCCAACAAATGAAAAATGGTTCTCTTTACTGCCAATAGAGTCTTTCTTTTTTACGTCACAATTGTGGTTTTCCTGCAAGTGGCTGCTTAAGGTATGAATGGCTGTCGGCACAAACGTAACAGCGTAACTCGCAAAGTGGTCAAAATCCCACACAGCTACCAGAACACCAGAAAGTAATGCACTCACCTCCAAGTAATAAATGAAAATACAACCCTCTTTAACATTAATGAGACACAAATTTGAGGAGAGACTGATTTTTCTGCAAACTTTTGGCCGCCCGTAGAAATTGTAGGCAAAATGAGAGTGGGGTGTTTCCCTTATGCCCCCAATATGGACAAAAAAACTGAATCAACGAGTCATGTTTTATAATGATTGGTCTCAAACCCTACACCTCACCAAGTTTTCTTGTTTCCACCTCTCAAAAAAAAATGACCAGGTTTTTCCAGAGCTGCGTGAGTGGTGCGAATCCCTCCGTCTCCACCTGGTGGAATGCGACCTGCGATGGGGCGTGCCCAAGAACCCCACCACCCGCACCGTGGTAACCACCTGCATGGAGGAGATCGTACGTTGCCACGCCGACGCCGACGGAGAAGGGTTCTTCCTCAACATGCTGGGGAACAGGTGATCGTTTGGAATTCTCGACCTCAGTGCATGCATTTGTGCCCTTTCTGTTGAAAACTGGTTCTATTCCCCTCGGAACCTTGCTTGTTAGGAAAAACGGGTGCCTCACTTGGTACATTTTCTGGAAGGAGTGTATGTGTAAATTTGTCAGAGATTAGAGTTAGCATAAGACCGTCAAGACTTTTTATTCAATCCACAATTTTTTGGTTAAAAGAGGAATTCTTGGCGCAAATCCTAGGGTCCGCTGATGTATCAATATTACTCAATTATTGAATATCAATCCAAAATTGATAACCCTGATATGTCCAATCTTTAATAGTATCAAATATTAAAAAACTTGACATTGGGATACCGAAAATATCAAAACAAGTCAGATTACAAAAAAATTTATTCTCCACTTTGAGTAAATTTGCTTCTGAATAGCAGGAAATTGTGCCCATTAAGAAAAATCAAGACGTCACAAAATCATACTGAGCATTCGATACACGTGGTATACTCAATATTGGATTTCTAACGTATCGATTATTGAAAACTTTGATATCGACGGACCCTACCAAATCCCGCAATTAAATTTCCCTTTTTTTCCCCCCCACTTCCCAGATATGGATGGATACCACCCAAAGAGGAAGTCCCAAATGACATCGCGGAGGAATATAAATGGGTGCATTCCACCTCCATCACTCACATGGAGATCCTCTTGGGGGCGTATCGCTCACGCAACCCAAACGCTGCTTTCTTTGTGCGAGACAGCTCTGGCTTTACAGAAATGATCCCCCTGGAAAACCAGAAACAGTTTGTGGAGCCGACGGAGGTGGGGAAGCTTCAGCTCAAGGTTCGGGTCCCTGTTTGTTTTTCGGCATTGGAGAGCTTGGGAAATTTCTGCGAGCCAACAGATTTATGCTGGCATGGGTTTAACTGGAGCAAGATGTTCAGGAAAAGTTTGCGGTCGCGCCATGCGAAAACATCTCCTTTGTCAGTGTGTTTGATTCTGAAAAGAACCGAAGGGTACTCAACGTTTTGGACAGTATGCTCTGTCAGTTGTCAGGAGACTGCAGAGGTTCCGGTGGTGAAGCAGCCAGCTGAAGCAAAACGTTGGCAGTTATATCTAACCGTTTTCTTTCATCTTTAGGAGTTGAAATCCAGGCTTCAGCAGCGCTTTCCTGGCCAGGTTTTTCCCTATTCTTGTGAACTAGATGATGACACGCAGGACTCAAAGGTGAGGCCTTCCCCAAACTGTCCAGAATTCAGTGTTCTGTGTCAGTTGGATGAAATTGCATTCTGGCGGGGTTTCGGTCTGCCTCAAGCAGAGCCACCCCCTCATCGGTTGAAAAGAGCCATGTTGGTTAGTAGTATTCATTTTGTTGGTAGCGATGTGACTGCAGTGCTTGCATTTCCTAGTCGTTCGTGAACCAGCAATTGGCAGTTAGTGCCAGTTAGGACCCTCTGTTGCGAAGGAAATAGCGCCCTCCCGAGGTCCAGCTTGAGGCCCGTAGGATAAAACAATTCCACAATGCACAGGTTAGATAAAAGATAAACTTCCGCCCTCTCATCCCAATTCTGAAGGTTAAGCTCAAAGGCCTGGATGAGTTTGGGAGGCAAGTTCTGGAGTTTTTTAAGAAGGCCATCGAGAAGAAGTTTCCTCCAAGTGACAGCGTTGCTCCTACTCCGGAGAAGCTAGGTAAAGGTTTTGAAGAACAATTTTATTGTTCATTACCATTGCTGGAGGCACCGTCAGCGTGCAAATAGCCAATTATAAAAGACGATAAGAATGGAAGATAATGGACAAATCAATGAAGTTTTTCTCATTAAAAAATGTGGGGAGATAGGTTGCAGTGTATTATGACCAAACAGGTTGAATGTAGTTAAGAAGCATAAACCGTGAATTGGTCCTTTTTTGAAATGTGGTCAATGTTTGTGAATTCACACCTGACGTGTTTCACGTTAGTTTACCCTTTCCCATCATATTTGACCAGCCTCATCTAATGTAGCAGGTTTTTTTTTTTTCACAGAGCAAGAACAACACGACATTTACATGGAGCAAAAGGGCAAGCTGGTGTTTGGCCGGGACGGCGAAATCGGCAGGATGATGGACTTGGCGAGAGGCGTCCCCGGGGATGCCGAGACCGAGGCGGGGGAAGAGCGCCACCACATGGTGGTGGTAGCAGATCCCGGAGAGGGCAAGTCCAGCCTCATGGCGCGCTTTGTGATGGAAGCGAAGAAGGTAATGGGGAGGGGAAGGGGCGTGGCGACTTCAGAGAGGGGTGGCTGACCAGTCTGATTTACCCGAGAAAGACAAGCACGGTATTTTCTGTGGTACTGCTTTACGAGACTGCACTGTCCAAGGTACCACAAAGCAATGCAAGCAGAAGGGGCTGTCTTCAGTGTTTGTGTTTATGTGAGAACTCACGTTTTATTTAAAATGCTGACTTTGCGCCGGTTTTTGTAATGTGTCGTCGTTTCTCTCAGTTATTAAAAAAATTATAAGGCATATCATTGCACATGTTACTTGGCAGCAATTTGGTTCCTGTTCACTAAATCTCTTTTTGTCATGTTGTCACTGAGCACTTTTTACTGCATTTTGTCTTTTGCCTTCTAATCTTTACAGGCCGGTTTTGCAGTCTTCTACCACTTTGTTGGCTGCACGGCTGAATCCAACTTGCCTTCCAGCATCCTGAAAAGGCTGGGTAAGTTTACAGGAAGTCCGTCTCTAATCCTTTTTGTGATAACACGTTATAAACATCAGGGTAACGGTGCTAATGTCACTTGCCCCTGTTCAGTGCATTTTGTCGTACAAGTCTGACACACCCCAGATATCACGGTGGGCAGTTCAGTGATTTTTGTCGCCAGCCAATGTGATAGAACTTAGAAAATAAGCTGGACTGGTGTCCGACATTTCAATTTTATTATTTTCGTCAGCAATGAAAAATAATCATCTGATTATTTTCTCTCAAATCACACTTGTGAGGGAATACATCTCACTTCTCTACGTACATCCGATGAGGAATAACACCCTCAGAATTGCTTCAAAAATTGTGTATTCAAATCAGTGCCAACTTTTTTTTCTTAGCCATGAAGTTACATAACTTCAACCTCATCGTCGCCCTCAGAATGTCTCAATATCTGACCTCTTTTAACTTTGAACCTCACAGTTGACAAACTGGAAGAGCTGTACCCAGACGTGTGTGCATACACCCCTGAGAAAGAGGAGGACGCCTCGAAGGCCAAGAAGACGGTCGATGAGGTGAATGCCCTCAAGATGGCAGCTTACCTCAAGACTCTTGAAGAAGCCGGCACCCAGTTCCTCATTGTTGTCGATGCTGTCAACCAGGTAGGTTTCTTTGAAGGTAATTTTTGGCGCCTCTTTTATTAATTGAAAAGAGTCTTGTCAATGTTTCTATTCCTCGTCGATTTGTTAACTCTATTAACCTCCTCAGATCACTATAAATCCACGAAAAGTTTTTGGAGGATTTTATAACAGAAATCCGAGTATTATTCACCCTCTTTTGGTTTGCTTTTTCATTTTGGTGTTTGACCTTTATCGTCTGAACCTACGTTTTAGTTCCAGTCCTCTGCTTTTCCTTCTGATGATCTTGTTTGTTTCCTCTCCAAATTCCTTGCGCAGATGATGAAGGAAGACAATCGCTATGGCTGGCTCCCCTCGACGTTAGCCGGTAACCTGCGGTGCGTGGTGAGCACCACCAGGGAAGACCGCACCCTGGAGGAGCTGCGACAGCGCTGCCCGGATGCCACCGAGCTGACCCTGACTGCCCTAGGGGTCACGGCTAGGAAGGAGATCGTCACCAACTACTTCAAGAGATACAACAAGGTGAGACGGCCTTCGAATTCCCCATCTGGTAGATTTTAAGGTGTAGTCCCAAAAGAGGGATACATTCAGCCCATAAACCTCGGTCACGGGGCAGCCATCTTGTTTTTTTTAACCATTTAAACCAATTTAACGAAACTAAGGCTGGAAGGGAAAATAGTCTGCTCCCTTTTATCAGTAGGTGAAGTTGTATTACTATTGCCAAAGGGGCTACAGGACACAAGACAAACATGGCAGCATCGTGAAAAAGGTCCATAGTGCTTGTACTGTATTGGGTTTCTGTGTATTTTTTCACTTGTGAATCGAAAGCACAGAGCTATGGGGTAGCTTTGGGAAGTCAGGCCAGGCAAAATGTATTCGTTCGCTGTCTGGCCTACACTTACCGCTCCGAGGAATTGTTGGATTCTTGAACTCTGCAGACATTGGATTCAGAGCAGCTTGACCTCCTCACGGGCTCGGAGGGGGCCAGGAACGCCCTGTGGCTGTCGCTGAGCTGCGAGGAACTCCGCGTCTTCGGCGTCTTTGAGCAGGTGACAGACCGGATCCGGGAGTTGCCCGACTCGCTGGAAGGCCTCATTGAGATCATCTTGGCCCGGCTGGTGAGCGACGACGAAACTGGAATGGTTCAGAAGGTATAGTCAACGAGCCCATACCAGAGAGTGGCTTGCTTCCTCCCAGGGTTGTGATTTAGTCCATAGATGTTTCTTGTTTGTTCTTGTTTCTTGTATTAAGGAAAGAAGAAATTCAGTCAATGGCATATGGAATATTCCATTTCAGTTGGCTTTGCCTTCTGCAATGGAACATTCCATGTATGAATTTCTTTATTAGACTATTGCACTCCTTAACATTATCGGTAAGCTACAGTCAACCCAGAAGATGAAATATTGATGTTTTGCAGCCGGTTTCTGTCTGGTTCTTGACCTCTGTCCGACCTCTCCTCCAGATGCTGCACTACCTCCAGTGCGTTCCCGAAGGCCTCAAAGAAACGGAGCTTCAAGCCCTTCTGGGAGACATCGACGGTGAAGCATGCACGCCCGCACCGGCGCTACACTGGGCCATGGCTCGACGCACTCTCAAGCCATTTTTGAGGAACTCCGGGGCCTACGGTCAAGTGGAACGACTGCAGTTCTTCCACTTGGCCCTGAACAAGGTAAGGGTTATCTTGGATTTGGAGTATATATTTGAAACTGTACAGTTCTGGAACTAAAGGCCCGACAAATTTGGAGATCCGAATGGAGTTAGATAGCTCAGTTGCTTCACAAGCTCGGTTTGTGTGGAGGTTACATGGTCAAATTCTGTTTGGCTCAATTTCCGTTGCTCAACCCAAATTTCCTCAAGAAATGAAAGGTGTTAAGAGTAGCAACGATTGGACACTTTGCAGTATGTGAAGTCAGTTTGGATAGGCAAGTCAACCAAATAAAGCTTCCCTTGTAACAAGGTGGAAGATGGCAGCTTAAAATTTCCTCCCAGTGGCTTCTGGTTTTCACCCTTCTGGTGGCATTTCATGCAGGCTGTCCAGAAACGCCTGTCGGAAGATTACGACCTGAAGAAAAAGTGCCACCGGGAGCTGGCCGACTACTACCAATATCACTGTCACGACGAGGCAGCAGTGATCAGTCAGCTGGCTCGTCAGCTCACCCAGGCCAGGGAAGGCCAGCGATTGGTCGGTTTCTTTCGCACGGACAAGCGCAGCACCCACGTCAACAAGATCGAGAGATCAAGACTGCTCAAGGTATCTCTCTATTTTTTTCTGCAGGCCGTTCATGCGTAACATAATTCATTGATGAAAATGCCAAATGCCTACACTTCAGATCCACAAATTTGCTCAAACATCAGTTTATCACTTGAAAAAAATTCCCTGCTTGGAGTTTCTTTGAATGAGACCGGGTTTGAATGTTCCCCAACTTCAATTGCCAGGAGTTCCGCTGCACTAACATGACCAAGTCGGACTTCCCGGGATGCACCAAGTTTGGTTTCTGCCAGTTCTGCAAGAACGCCCGGAGCAAGCTGGATCCCAACTCTTACTTTCAGAACAAGGACTGCTGTGCCATATGCGGAGAAAGGATAGCATTCCCAGGCCCCAAAACTGCCAAAGGTACCTTGAATTGATACCTTGAATTGAAGCAATAAGATAGCATCTTAAGCCCTGATCGGAGCAAGGCGTTTTTAATGTTATTGCTGGTGTTGATTTTAATTCAGTTTTGGGGCTTTGAGCCAGATCAAGAGAGGGCGCTATTTCTTAGCAATGGAGGCTCCTTTGATCGGGACTGAACTTTGTTGGTTCACGAATGACTAGGAAATGCACAAATCACGATCCCATTGCTACAAACAAAATGAACACTTCTGACCAACAGCAACATGGCTCTTTTCAACCAGTGTGGGGGTGCTTTTGCTGGAGGCAAGTGGCATATTTTTAAAGAGTACCCCAAACAGATCAACATTATACATTCAGGTGTTGTCTCACTAATCTCTTTAACCTAAGCATGATAATGATCACATCAATTAGTCAAAAATAATGCACCAGACTGATACACTTTACCCCTTACTTATTGATTAAATTCTTCAAATCATCTTTAATCCTCTCAGCCTACTGGTGTCCCTTCCACAAACCATCGTTTCCTGCCTTTGGTGCCAAGTACAACTGCTATGCCTGTCAGAAGTCCATCAACCAGCGCGACACGCCGCCCCTGGCCTACCTCTGCCAGTTCTGTGACCCTGGCCACATTGAACGCTGCTGTAAACTGGTTCCTTGAGGAGCATTGCTCCCTGAAATCACCGAAAGATAGCGCAGCTTTGATAAGACACTAAGCATGTGCTACTGGAAAGTGGGGGACATCATCAGCATCCATTCTCCTGAGCTGGTCTTAAAGGAGCCGGTCTTGTACAGAAGTTCAAAACTGTCCTAGCACATGTTTATTCCCATTTATAAATACCTTTTGAGTCACAAAATCAGACCAAGTTTTGCAAAATTATAAATTTCCAGCAATGTTGTTCAAAATGTTTTACTTTCACCCCTTTAGTTAATTAAGGTTAAAGATCTCACAAGTGAATTACACACTGACGTTTATTTTGAGCAATATCTTCTTGCCTTGGTGCAAAAATTAGTGGACCATCAAATTATGCCGCTTTTTTATAATATCTTTTTAATTTCCTCATTCTTGAGGGCGCTTTTTTGTGATGTCACTTCAGGCATTCCGTGGATATGCAATCTCATGGCACCTTCCCTCTTCTGCAGGTACACGCACACACTTCTGAAATTCCTTAGGCCTTAGATTTACAAGACAAGTTTCGTTGATGGACATGGATTCTTTGATATTTTTTTTGTATTACCAAGTACAATTTCAGGTTATCTGGACCACATTCCTTTCAGGTTATAAAAACTTGCCTTTTGACCAAAATTTTGAAATTGAAAACAGTTAAAGTTTTTATTGCAATTTTGTAGTTTTATATATTAGTCTATAAATTTAGACAAAGTTGTGAGGCGTATATTTTTATGTCGTTGAATATGTCTTTAGCTTTAATAGGAATCATATATTTTTCAAGATGCATATTCATGTATAACACTACATTTTTAGTGCGTCAGGTATATTTTGTGAAATTATATTACATTAATTATACATGTATGTACTTATTATATTTGATCAAATTTAGAGAGAATTCGGGGATCATGTGTATTTGTATGTGCTAATGTTTTAGAATGTCTGTATTTCTTGGATGCCAGTAGAGTGCATTAGAACGCAATATGAATCAAATCAACCGAAATAAGAATTATGCCGTTGTCAGACACAGTGACAAGATACTTGTTTAATAAAATTGAATTGTGGAATTGTTTTGAAGAAAAAAGTCTTGGAAGTTGTGATATTTGTATCGACGGTCAGTAAGTCATTTCTTGATATTGTCTGTCTTTTTCCCAGTCATTTCAATGAATTTAATTTGCTTTGTTCACGCGTTACCGGATCGTTCCTCAGTGGCTAATTTGGGGCTGTTTGTGTGGAGAAGTTACTAAGTGTCTTGTGCGCTCATGTGTTCTTATTCCTCCGTGTGCAAGGTACAGACCACTAATTAAAAATGATCTTTGGTACAAGTAAGATGTCCAAGAGGTCTTGTAATGCTTAATTTCCAGTCAAAAGAACACTGAGCGTAATCAGGAGGCGCCTTTCTTTCGGCGCGGCGTGGACGAAAAACTTTCGGAAGTATATTCGAATATGTAAATTAGCCATCCTCGTATGCAAAGAAACTGAATAGTGTATTATGATGCTCTCCAAAAGAAAAAGGGAACTAATTCAAATCTTAATAGATAAAATATAATAAACGTGTTTTTGTATTTTATTTCAATGGGAAGAGTTTTTAAAATTTTTATATTAAGTTGAAACAAAGGGCGAGGTTTGGTGAACGAGTTTAAACATGGCTGCCTCCATTTGTCCGAGAACTGCGACATTTTTCCAGCGAAAATTACCAGTTTTCTTTCCCTACAGAGGATTTTTTTCAGATAGGAAGCTTAATCTGGCTGTCAATCATTATGAGGAAAATAAAAATACTTTTAATGGCTCTGATCAGTGTGCACCTATAAAGAAATCGACGATGACTGGCTGTCGTGCCTGCAGTAACGTTTCATATCAGCGTGCGCCTGTGACGACTGCTGGTAAAAAGAGGGCGGAGTTCAGTGACAAGTTAGAAGGCGGTCCTTCTCTGCAGGATTTCATTATAGCTTCAAACCAAACAGAAAATGTCTCAAGTGGTGAGGACCTCATTCCAGAGACGGTTCCTTATCTTCAGAGGAGTTCAACTGAAGCAGTGAACCGAAAAGGTAAAAAAAGGTCGAATTTTAGGCCTAGGCCTTATTCAGTTCATGATGATTAATGAAGATCAGCAGAATCGGCTTGGCTATATATGCATAGCCTTAGGGAATATATAGTCATGATAGTAGAGTCCCTTACGTGGTGCACTTACACGCTCATTTGACTTACCTCGCACAGCGTTGTCAAACCTTTTTCTTGAAAAACTTAAAACTCATTTGGATATAAACTGGTACCTTCATGATACATGGCATTGAACCCTAGTTTGTGACCATTTTCAGTATCATGAAATTTTGTTTGAAATCCAAAACTTGAGGCATCTGGAAATTGGGCTTAAATTCAGCTGAGTGTTCCCTAATGTGGCACACTTGAAGTTGAACATTTACAAAATCCTTAGTTAGAAGCTGATAAATTCTTATAAAGCATCATTACTTCCACTCAATTACCCATCCTCAAGATTGTCAGAAAATCCTTTTCCTGTTTTGGGCACATATTAAAAGAAGAGTTCATTTGTATGTCGGAAAAAATA